GTGGATTCTCCTGAGGCTGCTGAGAGAGAGGAATGTGCTCTTTCCTGATGGACTTGATTCAAGGCCAGCAGAGCATGAAAGAGGGAACCAACAGAATGACCAGAAACCAGTTCTTTTTGTGCTGTAGGCGGTGGAGATATATTTTCTGACGCTCAACTCTCAACAAGGTGAAGGGACTCTTATGTAGCTGGAGCATTTTGAGTGAGAGGGAAGTGGGATTAAGGATAATTCAGGTACAAATGTATCAAACTAACACAGCATACACCTTAAACTTCCACATCATTATGTGCCAATTATATCTCAATCAAAGTAGCAATTAAGAAAAATTAAGTTGTATTGGAAATGCAAAAAAAAAAAAAAGCCAATAGCTTTTTAAAAAATGTGTTTTAGAAAAGGTGATTCTGGAGATGGAAACAGATTCCTTTTAGTCTTGCAGAGTTTTATCAAGGAGTTTGGAGCATTGGAAATTAAACATTTGAAGTAGAAAGCTAACATAATCCAATATATATATATATATATATTTTTATTTTATATATACCTTTTTATTTTATTTATTGATTTTGGAGACAGGGATTTGTTGTTCCATTTATTTGTGCATTCATTGGTTGATTCTTGCATGTGCCCTGATCAGGGATCAAATCTGCAATCTTGGAATATCAGTAAAATGCTCTAACCAACTGTGCTGCCTGGCCAGGGCCTATTCTTAATTTTATATTTTTTAAATCATTCTGGGTCAGCAAAAATGGTGAAGTAAATACAGCTGAAAATTATCTCCTCCATAAATGAGAATACTGTTTAAAATGGTCAAAATTAACATTCCCAACACTCTGGTAGTTAACGAAAGGCTTAGAGCACCTGGGGACAATTGACCTACAATTGAGTCTAGTTAACAACACCAAGCTTCCTGGCATTTTAAACTCAACTCATCCTCCCCTGTCCTGCTCCAAGGTAGCTTTGTAAACATCCACAGTAATGATAAAAACCCGCAGTATGATAGTCAATGAAAGAAACAGAATGAGTTTGGGATGCCTTCAAAATCTCTTTCCTGGGCAATTGTCATTATGGTACCTGCGTGGTGGTTCCCTGGAAGGCTGTTTTTAACTCAGAGCTCACTCAGTAAGAAAAACCTGGGGCATTTGGTGAAAACCATTAGAGGCAAATGATGATCTTCCCAATCTGAGGTGCTGAATAACAGTTGGGAGGAGGGATGGGAGCAGAGGAGTGATTCTGCTCTGAGTATTTTTGGGATGATTCTAACTCTTAGAACCATCTTCATGTCTAACCACTATGCTGTATGCCTGAAACCAACATATATGATATAAACTAATACCCCCAAAGTGGATACACACACTTGGAGTAATTATAAAGGCAGTGTTTATTAAATTAAAATTTATTTTAAAGTTGAGCTATCAGCTGTTAAAGTGTGTATGCATGTTGTAGGGGACACCCTGTATATTGAATGTTAATTGCATTGAAAAAAAGAACTTAAAAAAATGAATCCAGCTGTATGCAAGATGAATACATATCCAAGTGGTGCAGGAAGAACTCATGTAATTGGATTATAGGGTTTTGACTATCTCTTTGAAGGTAAAAACAACAACTATAAATAAATAGTGTACTCCAGTAAGTTAGGGTGTTTTGTTTTGTTTTTGCTTTTACTGTGGCACCGTTCACAATTCTGAAAAGCAGTTTGTCTTTTAAGTGCAAATGAGTAAAGATTTTGTGGATAATGGAAGCTGTGCTTGTCACCTTTGGAGAAGGGACTTAGAAACTGGAGAGAGGAAAGGCACAAATGAACTCTGTAGTGAGGGAATGGAATCAGAGGGATTGGTATGAGTCCATTTTAATAAACAGAAGATAGAAGACATGTGTGTGTGCATACATGCAACTGCATATTTTCTAGTTCGATCTACTGAGAGAGCATAGGAGCAGCAAAGCCCCACATCACCTGTCAGCTAGATCTTGGTTTCTGGGAGCCAGGGCTCTGAGGGAATGGCTGATTTCTGGGCTGGAGCAGGGAAAATACTACAGCAACTCAGACCTCTTCTTAAAATGCTCAAAAAATAATGGAAGTTTATTAAAATAATAGAGGAGCTGGCTAGAAGGGGCTCATACTGGCCAAAAATGAGACAATTTGGTTAACAAAATAAATGTAGTACTGTATTATAAATAATCCTATCTATTAAAAGAGTAATATGCAAATTGACCATCACTCCAACACACAAGATGGCTGCCCCTATGTGGTCAAAGATCTTGCCCCCATGTGGACACAAGATGGCCATCACAAGATGGCCATCAGGGGATGGCAGTTGGGAGTAACCAGGCCTGCAAGGAAGGGCAGTTGGGGGTGATCAAGCCTGCAGGGGAGGGCAGTTAGGGGTGACCAGGCCAGCAGAAGAGGACAGTTGGGGACAATCAGGCTGGCAGTGGAGCAGTTAGGCATAGATCAGGCTGGCAGGGGAGTGGTTAGGGGGTGATCAGGCTGGCAGGCAGAAATGGTTAGGGGCAATCAGGAAGGTAGGCAGGTGAGCAATTGGGAGCCAGCAGTCCTGGATTGTGAGAGGGATGTCTGACTACCCATTTAGGCCTGAACGGGCAGTCGGACATCCCTCGAGGGGTCCCAGATTGGAGAGAGTTACAGGCTGGGCTGAGGGACACACACTCTCATGCATGAATTTCGTGCACTAGGCCTCTAGTGTATTATAAGAGTCCCTGAATCTATACTGTTATGAATGAATGAATGAATGAATGAATGCTCTCTGAGAGCAGGATGCCAAGTAATGTGGAAGATATGATGGAACTATAAAATCATGATTTTTGCAAGCACCATAGAAATACCTGTTTAACAACAGAACCATAAATATATAATTGTATGGAAACCAAGATCTGGAGACTAGACTCCCAATGGACAGAGATAGACAATATATAATGTATATATGCATGCACATACCTTCTATGTCTATAGTACAGTAGAATATTTACATAGTCTCAAAATCTCTCCTTACATTGTTCCCCTTGGCAACCACCATTCTACCCTGTGCTTTTATAAGTGAGATCATGTAGTATTTGTCTGGTTTTATTTCACTTAGGGTAATGTCCTTAAGGTTCTTCTATACTGAAGCACGTGACAGTAGTTTCATCTTTTTTAAGGTGGCTAATATTTCATTGCATATCGATAGCACGCATTCTTTACCATTCATCTGCTGATGTGCATTCGTGTTGCTCCCACCTCTTGGCTATTGTAAATAATGTTATAGTGAGCACTGGTGTGCAAATACCTCTCTAAGATCCTACTTTATCAATATATTTTAGCAATTCCATGGGGGGGGGGGGAATAGTAACTTTTTACATGAAATTAGCTCAAAATAAAATTATCTGAAAAGAAAAGTTCTTACAAATATACCCTAACTAAAATATAAAGGATGGCTAGAAGGGCAAAAAGTTAATGCAGAGGAAGGAAAAGGAACTGTCCAGGAGTAGAATGGAGGATAAAAAATGGGTAGAAGTGTTTGTTTTTGAGAATCATTTTGTACATAGAATTGATAGGATTTGCTGATATAGTAGAAATGTGGGAAAGGAGGTAAAAAGCTGACTTCCAGAGTATGGCCTTCCCTCCTGCATGTACTTTTGATATATTTACTGAGCTTGAGAAGGCTGAGTAAAGAATAATTACCAAGGACAAAATCAAGGGTTTCATTTTGAACATTTTTTTTTCTGGTTAAAGGCCAATTCTCACTAAAGTAAAGAGCAAGGTAGCTGTGCCATCTCAGAAATGTCAATGCCATCTGCCAAATGTTTGTGTATATAAGTTTGTGGTAAGTCTCTGAGACCAGTGTAATAGGCTACAACAGATAGTCTTAGTAAAATGTTAACTAGGTATGTATACAAATGGAGGGTAATATCTATATCTGTGCAGAGTGTTCAAAGGTTCTGTCACGTTTAAAGATAATGGAGTCCAGGGGTCTTGTTTTAGGTGAATGTGTAACAAGGGGCTATCTTAGACAAACCTAAAGGAGAGCAAACACATCTCAAAAGTAAATAGTAGGGGGAATGGCCTAATGTATCTGTGGTGATTCCTCATGTGAGAACATTATTGAAAAATTGAAATGAATACTTACAATCAATCCCTCAATGTGTTTGGGGATCTGAACTTGAGATCATATGATTCTAGGCCAAGCCAAGTAGTCAGAGTCCTTTAGACAGAAGAATTCTTTATTGACTGTCCATGGAATTCCTAGCAGTACACAGCAGTGCACACCAATGCCACATTTTGATAGATGGTAGTCGTGGATTAGAAGCTTACGGTCTTTCTTAAGAGAGTTCCGATCTATCATGTCCACCAACTAGGCATCAGAGTGACTCACAAGCCTGCAAAGTCTACTTTGTGAGAAATGCCAAGGGCCTAAAAATAAAAAGTGGGACAGGAGATGGAGCCTTTAACTAGGTTATGCTATGTATATTATTATTATTTTTTTTGATGTGTCATTTACTGCTACAATTCTGCTGGGTAACAAACCACTCCAAAAAGCAATAAGCATTGTATTTTAGGTCACCGTGGGTCAATTATTTAGGCTAGATCTCATGGCAAGTTTCTTCAAGTCTAAGTTGGATTTCCTCGTATGTCCTGGTGTTGGCTGACTACTGGCCCCTCTAAGATGGCTTCAGCCAGGATGATAGATAAATTGCCTTCTTCCCAATTTATCGCATTTAATTGGACTGGCAAGGAGATGATCTCATGGCATGGCAGAAACACAGACAAGAGTAACTAAATCATACAAAGGATTAGCAGGAAATGAACCTCATCTTTCAAGCCACTCTTTGTGATGCATTTGCTAATATCCCATTGGTCAAAACTGGCTGAGCCCTAAATCTGAGCAGTATAAGAATATAAGATTACAGGGTTGACTGTGAATATGTGGTGGCTATTCACGGAGAACATTGATGCAATCAATCTACCATAGTCTGCACACGAGCCCTGATTATTTATGTTCCTTCCACAGGCAAAACACACTAAAGCCTTTTCAGGACTCCAAATTCACATCCAAACATGGCAACAAGCTTACAAAGTACAGAATTTTATGATCTATGTCAGGCGCAGATGGTTCTCCTGGGATGTGACTCCTCTTGATATGGAGACGTATACTAAAACTGTGAGTAATATGCCCCAGTCCCGGAACCCAGCACAGAATGGTGGGATAGGGACTTGATAAAGACGATGGATGCTTTCTTAAAAAAAAGAAAAAGGCTTAGGGGACACATCACAGTCATTGATTTGTTTTCCATTGCTGTACAGAAATTTTCACAAATTCAGCAGCTTAGAACAATACCGATACAAATGAATTGTCTTATGGATTCCCTGAGCCTGGTGTCTGGGTATGGATTTGGTGAGTCCTCTGCTCAGGGTCTCACCAGGATGAAATCAAGATGTTGGTCTGGGCTGTGGTCTTACTGGAGACGCGGAATGCTCTTCCAAGATCACGGATTGGTGGAGGAATTCAGTCCCTTGTGGTTGTAGTACTGAAGTGCTTGCTGTCTTAGTGGTTATAGGTTGAGGACAACCTCAGTTCCTTGCCATGTAGTTTGTCCCCTACACTGTTTGTTGTTTGTGACATGGTGCAGTGGTTCCTCCTGTCTGCTCTTTCACTTCCCCGTAGTCTCAGTTACCCAAGGTCAGTTGTGGTCTGAAAATATTAAATGGTCAATTTCAGAAATAAACAATTCACAGGTTTTTTAAATGTATGCCATTCTGAGAATTATAATGAAATCTTATATCATCCTTCTTCATCCGGCGTGGAGTGGGAGTCATCCCTTTGTCTAGGGAATCCACGTTGTAGGCAATACTTGTCTGCTGGTCACTTGGTAGCCATCTGGGCTATTAGGTTGACTGTGGTGGTATCAGTGCTTGTGTCAAGTAATCCTTAATAACGGCTCCAAAGCACCAGGGTAGTGATGTTGGCAATTCAGAGAGGCCAGAGAAGAGCTATAAAGTGAGAAGGTGAGTTCAGTATAATAAGCTAAGTTGAGAGAGAGACCACATTCATATAACTTCTATTATAGTACATTGTTACCATTGTTCTATTGTATTCTTAGTTATTGTTGTTAATATCTTACTGTACCTCATGTAAAAATTAAACTTTATCATAGGTATGTATAAGGAAAAAATAGTGCAGGGATGGACAACAGTAGGTTTATAGTTGTTCATGTGGAAAATAATACAGTAATTCATAAATAATACAAGAATAAACTCTGTTCACGTACTCTACTTGTGCCCTGCCCTGTGTCTAAGCTCTGGGAAACCCTCATACATAGCTAAGAATTCTTTGAGGGGAAATAATGTTTTGGTGATTGAGTCAATAGGAGAATGAAGCCATAATTAATCATTTTCAAATGTTCTCTTAATAAAATGCTGATTTTTCTTTTTCTTTAACGATGAACGTAACTTAAAGCTTGTCTTTTTCTTGGTAATCTGTAAGTGCTCGTTGTATAGCAAAGATGATGACCTTTTGTCGCATTTCGCAAATACTTTCCCCAGTTGCCACTTGTCTTCTGTTTTGACTGATTATAATCTTTTAGATAAAGATGTTCAAGCTCAAAATTCCTTAGTCATTCCCTCCAACCACAAGGCATCTCTGAGAGGAGAGCAGAAAGGCTGGGAATGTGGGTAAGAGGAGCAAGGAGGTTGATGTAAAGTGCAGGGCCCGGAGCACATCTGCTGTTTCCTTCTTCACGTGGGGTTCTCTTGAAGGGCCACGTGAACGGGGCCTCCCCATGGCCATCACATGCACCCCTGGTGTTGGACACAAACCCCTCTCCACATGTTTTCAGGGAATTTGTTCCACCTGATTTCCATGGGCCACTCTTTCTGAACGTGAATCTTAAAAAGAGAGGTTCATGGGCAGACCACAGACCCTCTCAATGCAGTTAGTTCCCTTACTAACTGACTACGAACTCTTTCTGCACTTAGCTCCGCAGGCTCATCTGGAGTTCTGATCCAGATTCTCCTTCCGGAAGGGTCTGAGCTCTTGGTAATCCCTTGTCCTTTGCAGTGACTACAGGACAAGAGAGGACTGAGGAGAGCCCAGTGGATTAGCTCAGTTCCACACACACTCTCCCCATCCGCCAATGTGTAAACGCAGCCCCTCCAGGATCCCTTACCCCTTTCCAAATGGGGCCCCTTCTTCCAGGAGGGTCCTCGAGGTTTTCGAAAGGAGATCTGAGCAGCTCACCTCCCTAGCCACCACAAAAGACAATGAGGGAAGTGTTTGTACTCAATGATGATAAAGAAACCCAGAATCTCCCTGCCAGTGTGGGTCAGGGGTTGAGTGTTGACCTATGAACCAGGAGGTCACAGTTGGAGTCCCAGTCAGGGCACATGCCCAGGGTTGCGGGCATGGTTCCTAGTAGGTATGCAGGAGGCAGCCAGTCGATCAGTGATTCTCTCTCATTATTGATGTTTCTATATCTCTCCCTCTCCTTTCCTCTCTGATTAGCAATTTAGAGTTAAATTTGCATCCTATAGCAAAGGACCAGAAGAAAAAAACTGGCAATATAGTTTTATGAGAATTGATAATAAAATAAAGAGTTTTAAGCAAGGAAAGGAGGGAAAATACAATCTAATTTTTATCTAATCTCTGATACAGAAAGAGCTTAAACAGATATTGAAACAAGAAAGCAAAATTCATACAATTATAATACTCATTTATTAAAATATATTTTTCTTGATTAAGAGAAATGCCATAAGTTAACGGGTGAATAAAAAAATAAAAAAATAAACCTACTTTTAATAGTCTTAAATAAAAATCTCATAATCTTATTTATTTTTATTTAAAAAGGCCAAGATTTTCTCCAACTTATGGCCAGTTTATAATTTATGATTCCCTATAGAACATAGCTTCCGTTCTGTTACTTTGGGCTCTTTTCTGTAAATAGTTTAACTTGGAGGGCACATCAGGAAGCAACACTGCTCAAAGCCGGTCATTCTATGGGAACTTGATTGAGGTTTTTTTTTTTTTTTCCTTTTTTCTTCATGTAACATGCCACAGTGGGTTTTTGGTTACACCTTCCTTAAACATGTTTTGGAATAAAATGATTGAGTCTGTGCTACAGGGAGGAGAAATCTGGGCCATCAATGTCCCATCTGTCTGTGATTAAGAGCACATTCCAAGTCTTTCCTCCTGAGCTGCTTGGCCAGGCCGCTCCGCCTGCACGGCTCCTCCTGGTGTGGCGGGCAGCAGCGTGGCCCTCAGGTTCCCCCTCTGCCAAGAACACGCTTCGGTAGCCCCCCGTCAGTGAGCGTTTAAGTTTGCATATTCAATCAACCAAGCAGAATAGCTAGCTCAACGCCACACCTCACCGCCTTGGCTTTACCCTTCCACGTGTGTTCTGCCAACTATAATACTGAAGGTTCCTACGTCCATCCTATTTTATGTGTTTTTTTGTGATCACTTAGTGTGATGATTTATTTTCCTCTTTCCTGACATGCTAGCAGTCATCCAGGTTTTATTTCTCTTCTCCTGAGGTAGACCTTTTAGACCCTGCCTCTGCCCTTTCAGACCTTATCTTTCCTTCTCCCCTGAGGGCTCTCATATTATCGGAATGGGACGTGCAGAAGGAGCAGGCAGGGGATGGGAACAAAAAAATGAAAATTGCCCTTTGCTTCCCGCATGGGGCGTGTACACTCCATTTTTGGCAAGGTACTGGCCTCGAAAATACCAGCGGAGTTAGAAGAGGAGACACCGGAGGGCTGGTAAGCCTCTCTCTCAACATGCTGGTCCTCTTTAACATACCAGGGGGGAGATGTGGCGATAGCAGGAACGGGAATGTGTGCTGGCGCCAGGCCGGGTCCTGTGGCGCCCTTCTTCAAGGTCACCCTCCTCCATTATTGCTTTCTGTGCATTTGTTTCTGAGAAGGGAATATATTCCGGTGGCTTAATATCCAAAGATTCAGAAAGAGCTTAAAAGATTCAGAAAAGTTTTATTTTCCTGCACAGCCCCTCATCCGCCTCATTGCCATGCCTGCTCCCCTACTACCTGTAGCCACGTTCACTAGTTTTTATGTATTCCTCCAAAATTCCCACACACAATGCAAAGAAATAACCATGTATGTTCTTAATCCCCCTCTTAACCTAAAATACACCAGGCTATCCAGGTTTCTGTACTTTTTAACAGACTTAGCAATGTTCCTCGGAGATCTTTCCCTTTCGATGAGTCATTTCCGTGTTCTTTGTCACCACAGCATGGTGTTACATGGCATGAAGGCAATGTCATCAACATCCCACTCTCTTATTAGTTTCCGTATTGATCCACCATTTCCTCATTAATGAGGAAATCCACCATTTCCTTATTAACGCGTTCCAACCATTTACTATGACTAATATCACTACAGTGAATAGCCTTATTTATGTCATTTTCTACCAATAGGAGTATCTGTGTAAGTTCTCAGATGTGGGACTACTGGGCCCTAGGGTATGTGCATTTTAATTTTGATATTTACAATAAGATCGCCCTCCTTTAGGGACCCCAGCAATTTCTACTTTCAAGCAGCCATGCGCCCATGCTTGTGTGCTGCAGCCCCACAAGCCCAACATGTGTTAGGCGTTTGCTTCTTGCCATGTACTTAAAGGAATGAATATCTTTATTTTTGTGAACAGTGTACTTGTATTGCTTGCCCATCCGCCCATGGGTGGCTCCTTTCTCACCGAGTTAGAGGAATTCTTTAAATGTTTGGGAGATGAGCTCTTTGTCTATGATATGAGATAGGCAAATCATGTTTTGCAGTCTGTCTTTGCTTTGCTTATGGTGCTTTTGCTTTGTGAACAATTTTCTTAAAATATATTATAGAGTGGGATAAAATAAACTGATAAACTAAATAGACCCAGAGATATAGAAACATGGAACAGACTGTTGAATAGCAGAGGGAAGGTGAGGGTGAGTAGGTGGGAAGAGATCAACCAAAGAACTTGTACGCACCTGTGCATAACCCACGGACACAGACAATAGAGTGGTGAAGGCCTGGGGTAGGGGGCGAGGACAGGCTAGAAGGGGTGCGGAGGGGAGAGGGGACATATATAACACTTTCAACAATAAAGATTGAAAAAACAAAAATATAAGGTGAGGCAAAAGTAGGTTTACAGTTGTGAATAGATGAAACAGAATTTATTCTTGTATTCTAGTTTATTAATTATTGTATTATTTTCTCTACTAACAACTGTAAACCTACTTTTGCCCCACCCTGTACTGTCTGCTCAGAGAGACCTTTTCTGGCCTTTGCATTGAAGAGGCCTCTTTAGCACTGCCTTCTCTTAGGGAATATGCAAAGGGGGCAGGAGGGAAGTAGTGTAACCTCCTATCTTGAGCATCTACTCAAAGCTCCTCCAAGTTCCATCTTGCCACTCCCTCTCTGCCCAGGCTCCCTGCTTTGCCCCGGGCTGCAGATTGGAAGCTCACACACAGGTAGAGCCTCCTGCTTCTGTGTGTAGGGATGGGTTGGGGATTGAGCATCGGCAGCTTTCCCTCTTCCTTATCAGGTTATTTCTGAAGGGCTAGGAACACTGAAGGCACAGGAAACAGGCATTTTCCTGAGCCCTCCAGGAACAATGGGGCATTGACACCACAGTCTAGTGCACATTTGATTCCTGGTCCAAAAGGAAGGCACTTGTCCAGGCCAGCTGCTCTCAGGGCAATAGCCAACGCCATGGCAGGGAGAAGCAAGTATCCACAGAAGAGGGCACTGCCCTGCCCTCAGGGCAAATGTGTGCCAACATCTTGAGGCTGTGACCTGGCATCTGATCCTCGGAGCAGTAAGCTCCAGAATGGAAACAAAGTTGACCGTGAGGGAAGGCATCCACAGATACCACTAGAATGGTTGGGAATCTTAGCAACAAAAGCATTGTTTCTAGAGAAGAGCATGGGCGGAGGAGAAAGAAGATAATGTCGTGGGAACAGGAGGAGAACTCTCAGCCTCGTTTTTTATGAACTGTGATGAACGGTGAACATTTGCTCGAGGGGCATTTACGAGCTACTCGGGGTAGGCCCCTCTGGCTCCTCCTGACTGGTGCGGTCTGAAAAAACACTTATGACCACCACACGGCCTTGTTCCAACAAACGACGTGAGACAGCTCACAGATAGTGAGCTGGTCAAAATACAGCCAGATAATATCCTCTGAAGTAAATGAAATGGATAAAGGGGCCAAGAATGAGTAAATACCCCAGACCAAAGTGCCTGTTCTCGGGGATGGAGCACGACTTTAGGTCTAGCTTTTTATCAGCAAACATGAAAAGCCAACACAGTGTCCATAAGATAGTAGCAAATGAACTGTGCGGGAGAAAGACAAATATGCCGATACAAAGTCCAACATGACATTATCCTTGAGAGTCATATAAAGAGGCCATTGTGCAATGTAATCCGCATTCTTCGAGTTGACATAATAACGAATTTCATAAAACGGCTTTGTAGCGTGCCCTTGATGCTGACCGATGGCTGCAAACCAAAGAGGAATTCTAGGATTCTGTACTGAAGATAAACCTACAGATGGA